GCACTAGGTTTCCACATTGCTCCTCTGATGCTCCCCAATTCCAGCTGTCTCTCCCTCTCCTCTCTTTATTCTATCTCCCCTTCAACCTGATCTTTCCTGCTCCTAAATCCATCCACCCCTAGTCCACCTGCAAAATTTATTCTAGTTCCCTTTCTCAGGGAGGTTCCTGTGTCCCTCCCTAGAGCCCTCCTTTTTAACCTAACTTCTCTGGGTCTGTGGATTGTAGCCTGATTATTATTTACTTAATAGCTGATATCCGCTTATAAGCAAAAATATACCTATTTGTCTTCCTGGGTCTAGGCTACCTCACTCAGGATAATTTTTTTTTCTAATTGCACCCATTTGCCTGAAAATTTCATGATGTCATTACTTTTAAAAGCTGAGTAGTAAATACTCCATTGTGTAAATGAAACACATTTTTCTTTATCCATTCTTCAGTTGAGGGACATCTAGGTTGTTTCCAATTTCTGAATATTATGAATAAAGTCATCAGGAACTTGTCCTTGTGGTAGGATGGAACGTATTTTGGGTATATGCCCAATATGGGCATAGCTGGGTCTTGGATTGCTTCCCGGTTTTCTGAGGAACCACCATATTGACCTCCATGGTGTCTGCACACTTTTGCACTCCCACCAGCAAGGGAGGAGTGTTCCCCTTGTTCTACATCCTCAGCAGCATAAGTTGTCATTTTTGTTATTGATCTTAGCCATTCTGACAGGTGTAAGATGGTATCTCAAAGTTGTTTTGATTTGCATTTCCCTGATGGCTAAGGATGTTGAGCATTTCTTTAAGTATTTCTCTGTACCCCATTTTTAATTGGATTATTTGGTTTCTCGATATCTAATTTCTTGAGTTCTTTATATATTTTGGATATTAGACCTCTACCAAATGTAGTAATTAGGGCGGCAGGGTTGCGGTCCCAGCACCCCGGCCGCCTGCTCGGCTAGCTTATGCCCGAAATAACAACACACAAACTGTATTCATTTAATTACTGCTTGGCCCATTCTCTTCTAGGCTAATTCTCACATATTAATTTAGCCCATTTCTAATCATCTGTGTGTAGCACCCCAAGGTGCGCTTACAGGAGAGATTTTAGCCTATGTCCATCCTGGGTCGGAGCTTCATAGCGTGCGTCTGCCCAGGAGCCAGGAGCATGGCGTCTCTCTCAGGCGTCTGCTCCCGAGAGGAGAGCTGTCGAGTCTGACCTCACTTTCTCTTCCTCCCAGCGTTCTGTTCTGTTTTCTCCTCCCACCTATCTTCTAACCAATAAAATGGGCCAAGGCAGTTCCTTTATTAGCCAATGACCTTCCTCCATCAACCAAATATGGAATTGGTAAAAAAATAAAAAATATTTCCCATCCCATAGGTTGCCTCTTTGTCCTATTAACAATGTCCTTTGCCTTACAGAAGCTTTTCAGTTTTATGAGGTTATTGTTGACATTATTGTCTCCACTATTTGTGTTCTGTTCAGAAAGTTGTCTCCTGGACCAGTGCATTTACCGCCATTCCCCACTGTTTCTTCTATCAGATTCAGTTTGTCTGGCTTCATATTGATGTCTTTGAACCACTTGGATTTGAGTTTTGAGTGTGGATCTATTTATGTTTTTCTCATGCAAGACATCCAGTCAGACCAGCACCATTTGTTGAAGAAGCTTTCTATTTTCCTGTGTGTATTTTTTGGCTTCTTTATCTAAAAAACTCAGGTGTACATAGCTGTGTGAATTTATTCCTAGTCTTCAATTTGATTCCATTGATTACCCTGTCTGCTTCTACGCCTATTTGGCAGTTGTTTTTATGACTATAGATCAACACAGTTTGAAATCTGGGATGGTGATACCTTTGAAGAGCCCAGGTTCTTGCCCAAAGCCCTGCCATGACAGCCTACAGAAAAGACCCAGCAGGATATAGCAGGATGTATAGTGACCCGGACCTTGCCCTTCCTATTGGGGGTCAACTACCTGATATGCTCCACATGGTAACGAACCAGTCAGAAGTTAGGGCCGGATGTGCCTTACTGATAAGGGAGAAAATACAGTAACCACAGTAATGTTCCCCAGATGCCCTCCAAATGTAACAACCTTTCCACAGCTACGGCTGACCAATTAACGCAGGATAGGTACCCCACCCCAAAGGTGCACTAATCTTGAGACTGTTACTATGCAACTTGCTGACCCCTAGATAAGCTTTGTTCTCCTGCTGCCTGGGTGTCTCTTACGCCACTGCTGTGCCGGACAGATGGGAAACCGGGTTCAAATTCACAATTAACAAGACTCTTCGTTTTTTGCATTGGATCTGGTCTCTTGGTAGTCTTTGGGAGTCCAGACTCTGGGTACAACACCTTAAGCTATTCATTCATTGTTCAGGATTATTATTTTATTATATATTATTTTATTATTATTGTTTTTGCTATCCTGGATATTTTGTTTTTCCACATGAAGTTGAGAATTGTCCTTTCAAGGTCTATAAAGAATTGTGTTGGAATTTTGATGGGAATTGCATTGAATCTTTAGATTGCTTTTGGTAAGATCTTTCCATCTTCTGATATCTTCTTCAATTTCTTTCTTCAAAGATCTTATAAGTGACCACTGTGAACACAGACACCATGTTTAGGTGGCTGACAGAATCTATTGAAGCCACAGTTCCATTCTGGCTAGCTGCTGAGACCATTTCAAGCATGTTTCTTCCTCCTTCACTCTTCCTTCTCTCTCTCTCTCTCTCTCTCTCTCTCTCTCTCTCTTTGTCTTCTGTGTGTTTGTGTGTTTTCATCTATGGATCCATTTCTGTGTATAGTTGTCCTTGAGAACTCTCTTAATGAGATGCCATGGGATGGAACCAAGGGGGCACACTGTAAGTTGAGACCATCCACAGCGATCCTAGGTCCAGAGGTTCTACCATCTACCATTACAAAAGACCGAGTTTCCATATAAATTTTGGAGAATAGGTTCAGGGTATATATAGCTCAGTTGTAGAGTGAAGGCCCAGCATAAACCATGTTCTGAGTTAGATTTAGCACTGTACAGATATAAAAGGCCAATAAAATTCATCTAAACACATAGGAGGTGGAGGCAGCAGAAGTTTGAAGTCACTCTTAGATACATAACAGATTCACTCACCTTTGGACTGGAATACAGGCCTGAATCCCCCCCCCAAAAAAAAATCAAAATCAAAATCAAATGAACCAAACATAAATTTGTCCCGAGGGACACAAATTGCGCCACAAAAGTGAAAGGATCGGTTTCTCCTAATCACTCGTGTGTGTGTGTGTGTGTGTGTGTGTTGGCCTCTCAGTGTGTGCAGATGCACTTGCTTACACATACGTTCATTCCATGTATGTGCATGCAGAAGGCCCAGGATTTCCTCAATGTTTGATCCTCAGATATATTCACCCTGTTTTTTTGCCGACAGGGTTTCTCATCTGTGTTAAGGTCTCAGTGACTCAGCTCGGCTGCCTGGCTGGACTGTGAGCCTCAAGAAGAGGCAGATCTCCACTTTGGAAGTGGCGAGATAACACACACAGCACCACAGGTGTTTGACAAGGCCCTTGCAAGCTTTCCTTTTCTACCTTCCCCCCAGTTTCCCTGCATCTTCTTGTGTCTCCCCGATTCCTGAAGCATGTCTGTGCAGACTGCTGAGAAGCAGGAGCAGGGACATTGGAACTAAGCTGCCTTCTCTGGCCTCTGTTGTTTCATTGACCTGTAAATATTTCCCTCTGGGGTTGGCAGCTTTATATCCCTTGGGGTATCTTTTTCATTTGCCCCTCCCAGAAAATATGTTTTGTTCCCACCAACCAAAGCTCTGTGACCTTGTGACCCTAAGCATACGAGGCTTTCTTTAGCTCCTTCCTGTACTATTCATGTTAGTCCAGTCAAGAAGCCAATTGCCGGGTTCCCATGTCATTTGATAAATGTCCGTTCAGTTGGCTTGGTTATAAAAACTAATAACCAATGATTTGTGGATCATCGGAAGAGGGGAACAGTTGCCTGGTGATGCAATTCTGCTACTATAGCTTCTAGCATCTTTGAATGCATGGAGTTGGCCCAACTAGGAGTTGGCCAGACCCCTGCAGAGAAGAAGGCCTTTGCCTCAGCATCTCAAGATGCCTCACAGCCCAGAAGGAACTCTTCTTGATGAACTAGAGGGGGAGATTTGCACTCATAACCAGATGCTGTGCCGGCCAGGCCCATTGTCCTGAAATTTGTTCTCCCTGGTTATTTATAACTCATCAGTTGTCTGGAGAGTTTGGGGATGCTCAAAGGAATGTCTGGGAGCTGATGGAGGACTTAGAAGACAGTGCAATGCTCCTATTTTGCATCTCAAGAACATGAAGCTGAGTTTGACTGGCTGATATTGCTAATGCAGCCACATGTGGAAACGAATATTGCACAGGATCTGAGGAGCAGTCTCAGGTCAGTGACAGACACACACACCTGATGAAAGGTTAAGATGTGAATCTTTCTGTGAGGTTGCAAAAGGGATGCGGTGGTGATGAGGACCCGGTCAGAGGAAGAAAAGGATGAAAACTGACAGCCTTGACTGACACCTGCCAGGGCAGATGCTGCTCTATGCTGCTCTCTGCATTCAGCCTTGGACAATAATCTGACTTTCCTGGATCCTCAAGAAAAATTGATTTAAGACAGGGTGCTGGATTCTGACACTGTCAGGTGTTTGCACACAGGCTCACCAACAGCCCTGTGACCATGCTGCAGACATGACATGTCAGAGCTTCAGAACCGGTTACCAGTAAGAAAGACAAATGTGCCTTTGTCAAAGAGCAGCTAGAAGTGTCAGTGCCAAAGCTGTGTGCTGGAATAGCTCAGAAAGTGCACGCCATGATAAAGAGTACACAGGGCTAGAAGATCGTGACTGAGAAGCAAGTGACCCGATATTTCTCTTCGCTTGTGTTTGGATGTCATGGGTTTCTTTCAAGGAGAAGCAATGGCCAGGATAATAATTAAGTAAACATTTAATAAAATAATTTCCACACCAGGCCTGTAGAAATCTTGTTTAAATTATAGAGATAATTACACTGTTAAAGTTTCTTCAAGTGACTTGTGTTTGAATACACGGGGTCCAAAGCTCTGACATATTGTGGTCAAGTCTCCCACAAGAAGCCAAGGGCTGCTGGGCTGTGTCCCTCCCAGCCAGACATTCAAGAGAGCTCATCAGCTGTTCTTCAGATTCCAGACACTCAATAATGCTCTTCAGCAGACACATCTGATGAGACAAAAATCAAATTCACACACATTTATGCATGAGCCATTCACTAGAATGTTGCTTAACAAAAAACACGTTAGCAGGTTGAGAAACAGATCTCACACAGCAGAACCATCACTGGTGAACGGTGAAATGCCCACTAATGGTTTTCTCTATTTCCCCTTCCCATACGCCCTGTCTTGGGTGTCCTTGTCTAGATAGGGCTGTCTGACCTCATGAGTGTGTTCTGGAGCACTTGCATGTGTTGGCTCAGGTGTGAGTACTGAGGAGTCTCAACTGTCCTATCGTCCGTGTTTTCTGAGAGCTTTGCCCTGAAGCTGGAGGTGAGAAATGTGGCCCAGCCCTCTGCAGGGGAATCCCAAGGAGTCTGTCTCCTTCTGTCTCCACTGGCATGACACCATGGGCTCTCACTGTCGTGCAAGGCTTTCATGTGTTGCCACATCTGAGCCCAGATCCTCATATTTGCAGAACCAACAGTCGGTATAGCTGAGCTATCATTCCTGGAACAAGACGGGCAAGTGTTGACGGCTAGGTTCTTCATGTCATATCTCTCACGAGCGCGTATTATGTACAGTACAGGCAGCATATGGATCATAGACCTTTGCGGTGGTCGATCCCATGCTGCAGCTCTGTCCCTGGAGACGGAGTCTAGTCCCTGCACTGTGGGGTTTGAAGCACTTGAGGGAACATACAAACTGAGATACCCCATTGGTTTTCATCAGTTTACTTCCATGGTGAGCAGCTTGCAGAACCAGGGAGGTTAGGTAGAAAAGGTATGCCGGGACTTGTATTTAAAATCTACACTGTGGTTTTGCTGACTCAAAGGGGCACACAAGTGTTCCTCTCCTGTGATGAGCAAAGTCCCCAAGGAAGATGAGGCCTGGTGTCTTAGATCCATTGAAAGGAAGTAACCTGGCCTATTGGGTGGTGACTCTAATGGACTCAATAACTTTGTCTGTCAGGAACACATTTCCTTCACATTGCCTGAGGTTAGGTAGCCTTTGCCTCGAGGGGAGATGGGCAGACCTATGCCTTAGGTTCTCACTGTAACCCAGTGTTCAGTCTGAATACCCTGGTTCCCAGTGCTATTCAACCATGACAGAAATAATTGATGAGGTGATGTTTGCCCAGAGTTTACCATTTCTACCACTTCTTCCAAAGCCTCACGAGGGGCCGGGTGGTGGCGCACGCCTTTAATCCCAGCACTCGGGAGGCAGAGGCAGTCGGATCTCTGTGAGTTCAAGGCCAGCCTGGTCTACAAGAGCTAGTTCCAGGACAGGAACCAAAAGCTACGGAGAAACCCTGTCTCAAAAATCCAAAAACAAAACAAAACAAAACAAAACAAACTAAAAAAACCCAAAGCCTCACGAGGAAGGTTGTGAAAATCTTTCATTGCTTGCTAAGAAGACTCTCCCATGTCTTTGGGCCAGGTTCCACATGGCATGGGAGGGTTGACAGGCTGCCACTGGGGTCAGATTTCCATTGTCACACACGGCAGACCACTGGTAGTGAGTCTGTCTCTCAATGAGAATTGTGGGGTCTGCTTGTTATTTGTTCTTCTCCAGAGACACAGTCTCAAAATCTAGCCTGTTCTGACCTTGTGTGGTGGTCATGAGACATCCAACATGGGTTCAGGGAGCCAAACATGGGGCCGGTGTGAATGCCGCTTCCTCCAAAAAGTTTCTGAGGGAAAGAAATGGATCGCAATCGCCTCTTCTCACATCTTCCTGAGATGATCATAAGGGACAAGGCTGGAAAACATTGAGGATGTTTCCTAGAACACCTGCTGGGGAAGAGAGACACAGTGACACTTCTGCACCCTGAAAATGCCATCAGAGCACAGGGGGGTGATTTCACCAGTCAGAACACAGTGTACTGTTATCCCAAGGGACCTTGTGAAGTGCTTAGATAATCTTCGGTATTATTTTGAATGAGAATGGACCCCATAGATGCACATATTTGGATACTTAGCCCACAGATTGTGAAACACTTTGGGAAGGATCAGAAGGTTGGTTGGAGGAGGTGTGTCACTAGGGAGTTAAAAAGCATTAAGGATTCAAAAGCCAAAACCATTCCAAGTAAGCTCTCTCTCTACAAATCTGTGTCTGTCTGTCTGTCTGTCTGTCTCTCTCTCTCTCTCCCTCAGACTATGCGTGAGAACCAGATGTAAACTATCAGTGACTGCTCTAACAAAATGACAGCCTGCCTATCGCTATATTGCCTTTCCTACAACGGTCACATATTCTAAGCCTTTAGAAATGTCGACCATACATAACACGCTTTCTCTTGTAAGTTGTCTGGGTCATAGTGTTGTCACAGCCATGAGCTAGAAACAAACAAACGAGCAATGCAGGAAAAGGCCAATTCAGTAAGCAGATGCTGGAAGAGCATTTTGCGTCTTTCTGCACCTCGTTCCTGTCTCCTGGGCCCGAGAGCAGCTGGGAAAGGTTTCAGGGAGTCCAGTCCTCATTATGAGGACACACTGCGTCATCATCGTCACAGGTGGAGCAGTGTAGACTGTCATAGCAGCTTGGTCTTGGCTACAGGTATGGTTCAGGAACTCTTTTTCCAGAGAAATTGCTGAGCTTGCACAGAGGTCTGCATTCCCAGTGACCAAGGCCAGCAGCCTCTGCAGAGGAACAAAGGTCAATTTCATTGCTGTGTTTATGGCAAGATCAGATAGCAGAATCTTATCTTGCACCACAAAGAGATATAAGTATCTCTTAGTGAAGTCAAACCACTTCATCTGAGTGGTCTCCATAGATTAGGCACTTACATTCCTGTTGCCAGCACTTCCTGCTGACCCAGAAAGCTGCCCCCTACCTTAAAGGTGCCAGGGGGACATTGCAGACACCTCACCCAGTAAGGCTGCACACACACTACGGCAGCTCTGAGGCAATTAGGTGTCCTTCTATTCTTGACCCTGAAGGTGGACACTGGGATCAAAGAAGTCCCATGGATGCCGGCATTGCCTGGGCAGTGATGCTCCACACGCTGTCAAGCACTACTTACCATTCACAGCAGACAGAACGATCGTAGACCTTCACTCAATTAAAGCCAAGGAATCCCCCACGGGGACATAAAATTTATCCGTGTGAATACTCCTTGGATGGGACAGCAGCCCCTTGGGGTCTGAAGGAAGGAGGCTGAGAAGACAAAGACACAGATGTCACCAGATCAATCCAAGCCTGGGTCAAGCAGAAAGAGGAAGAGGCTTCTGGGAAGTATGTGGCTTCTCTTCTCTGCAGCCACACCCTGTCTGAGCATCTCAGGTCGAGAGCAGATTTCTCAGACAGCATTCACCTGCTGCAGCTTGGAATAAGCTGGAACCCATGAGGAAGACAGGGTCTTCTTCTTGGGGTACCCATGCATCACCTGCTCCCTAATCTCCTCTTCAGGGAAATTCTGCTCCTCTCCTTCTTGGTTGTGGACCCTGTCACCACCCACACATTCATCCCTTACTTTTCTGCTCTCGGAATGGAATTTCCTCTGGATAAATTACCTCCTCTTCATCCACACGCAAGCCCTTTCTTCTGCCCTCTCTCACCACCTTTATCCATTGACATGTCCCACTTGCCCCACTCCTCCTTCCCCCTCCTCTTCCTGTGCCTCCTTACCACCTAAGAGGAAAGCGTGCAAGCACTTCTTTACATGTGCTCATTGATTCTGTTGATGGAAGTGAGGGGAGAAGGAGATGGGGACCCAGAGTCATCTGGGGCACTTACTTCTGTCACATGGACTACCGAGGAGGGTGGTTATGTGGCTGGCTTCTCTGTCCAGGCACTAGTGCTGGAGGAACAATGCTCGTCAGTGGGGGAGATGGTTGCTCATACTCTGCAGGAGAGGAAGGTACAGAGAAGGCGACCTGGTTGCTAGAGGTGTCTGGCAGGTAACAACAGGTTTGGGGTACACCTCCTTTGAAGTTCTGGACTGGCTTCTCCGGGGATGTTAAGTCACACCAGGCTGAACACGGACCAATGGTTTAGGAACCATGGGCCTGGGCCTCATCTTTAACCCTTGAAAGACACAACAAAGGACTGTTAGTGACTTTGACATAGAAGGACTTGGCAAAGAGCTGCCTTGTGATACCACAGCTCTCCACAAGCTTCTTCCCTTCCTAAACTGTTGTCCCTTTGACAAAGCCCTCCTTCCTCCTGTCTCCCTCCATCCCCAACCCCTGCCAACACCCTCTGCTGTCTGCTACTGGTTCAACTTCCCCAGACTCCTCATGAGCAGGATTCAGTGTGAAGCTCCTTTGGGGGCTCCAGACACCTTAAGGTTTGTGTCTCATAAAGGGCTGCAGCCTGGCAGTGGCAAAGTGCCTTTGAAAAAAAGACATATTAAATACATATGTGAATTTTCTGGTCCCGCCCACTTCATCTTCCATTCCTTGTTATCCCTTACCTGGATGCTGTGTCTTTTGTTCTTGGGGTGGGGAAACAGCAACAAACCTTCTAAACAGGTTCCTAATCTCCTTCCAGTTCCTTCTGCTGTGCTTTTTGGAGTCTCTGGGTGCCTCCCGGGGCTGCTCATTTGCAGTTGCTGAAGCATGTCTTTGACTATTTCATGTTGGTCGTTTCCACGACAGGGAGGGGACACATCATATATGTGATCCCACGCCATCTGGCTGATAATGTTCTGTACTGGTGATGTTGTTCTCTCTAATGTCAGTAACATCCTCTGGTCCAAGGTCCTTTTGGTAGTGGGTATCCTCCGAGAACCCTAAGACATCCAGAGTCGTGAGGACAAAAGCGAGGTACCGCCAGTCTTGTCCATCTCAGCCTCCACGTGTCCCCTTACGTGTGTCATCAAATGGGGCAGCATTTTCTGTCTCCTCAGACTTGCTTAATGCCTTCAAACAATCACCCCGTGGGGGCAGAATTCACAGGTGAGTTAATATCTGATGTATAAGTCAGATGAGCTGGTCCTCTAGAGAAGCCCTTGGTACCTTTTTCATTTACTTCCTGCACTTTGTTGCCTTTTGCTGATGCCATGAACTCTGGTAGAGTCAGCTCACGGCATCTCCTCTTTAAGGGAAAGGGAGGGAGGAGGAGGTGACATGTAGGCTTCCTGATGGAGCAGATCTTTTGCTGATGTTCTATTCGCCCAAGGATGGAAATTTTTCTCTGGTACAGGATATCATTTTGGGACGGGAACTCAAAAAAATCTCTTTGTTCCAGTAGTTTCCAAAGTTGTTTTCTGCCATGTGGCTCAGGAACACAATGCTCACCAGGGTGGAGACATACCACCTCGAGCCTATTTGTCTGGACGCTGGTGATAAATTGGCATTGCTGAGATTCCATGATATTCTCTCTACCTTATCAGGAGGAGAATGGCACCACCACAAAATGCTAGAAACAAAACAAAACAAAATCAGCTCCAGGAGTCAAGGTTATGGCTACCAATTTGTAGTCATGAAAATCAAAGGCCTCTCCAGCATCCTAATGAGGCATCTTGGGGTCAAAGTTAAAAAAAAAAAAAAACCCAACCCAAACCCCAAAGCAGTTATGAGAAAGGAAAAGGAAGATCAGAGCTGGAAATAACTGGACACTTGGCTGGTTAAACAAAAGTCAGAGAAACAAAGAGCTGGTCCTTTGAAAGAACCAACAAATCTGACAACCCTTGATGTGAGCCACCCAAAAGAAGATACAAATTACTGAATGTGAGACAGGAAAGAGACGAGTATGATCCATGGGAACTCTAGGGGCTGCGAGAAAACCTTGTACTCCAAAGTGTTGACAACCCTCAAAGAGATTGCTCAATTCACAAAAGGACGCCAACATTTGATGGAGGAAGGTCATTGGCCCATTTTATTGGTTAGGACATAGGTAGGTGGAGTAAACAGAACAAAACGCTGGGAGGAAGAGGAAGTGAGGTCAGACTCCACAGCTCTCTCGGGAGCAGACGCCTGAGAGAGACGCCATGCCCCGCTCCTGGGATGAAGCTCTGACCCAGGATGGACTAGCCTAGAATCTTCCCTGTAAGACCGGTTCTCACAGATTATTAGAGATGAGTTGATCAGGATGTGAGAATTAGCCTGTAAGTGCTAGAGCTAAAGGGCCAAGCAGTGCTTAAAAGAATACAGTGTCTGTGTAATTATTTTGGGGCATAAGCTAGCCGAGCAGGCGGCCGGGGTGCTGGGAATGCAGCCCCGCCGCCCCTATTACTACAGTTGGCGCCCAGACGTGTGGACAACTAAACCCACTTAAAAAACCTGAGAAGGCTTAAAAATAAGGGAGCGAGAGTTTAACACAGATTTTTGCTGTTTGTTGGTGGCATGCTGTAGAGAGATTTCCTGATTCGGCAACAGTAGCAGAAAAAAACACTGTGTCATTTTAAAGCGCGACTTCCTGGGGCTGTGCCGCCATTGCGATCTCTGTCTGGCTCCTGCGGGAGACAGAGCTTTTGAATAGAGCATTTGGAGTAAAGGGCTATGATTTGTTTGATGGCAACTAGACTCGCTGTGTTCTCGGGTCTGCTCTGCTTGTTAGAGGCAAGCAAGCGCCTCATCTAAGAGAGGCTTCCTGACTCAGCTTTAGCTGCAAAGCCTGCAGCTCATTAAGAGGTCCTGCCACGAAACACTTAAATGGTGTTGACGAAAAGCTGAACGCATGCTTTTCGGTTTTCAGCCGTAGCAGGAAAAAAGCTGCGCCATTTAAAAATGCCAGCTTTCTGGGCTGTCCTGCCAGGGCAAACTCTGACTGTTTGAGGCAGGAGGGCTGGCTACCGAGAGGACTTGAGTGTTGCCTGCTGTAGCTCACTTGCTGGCAGGGACCTTGAAATGCCATGCAGTTGTTGCAGTAAACATGGCTACAGCCTGTATATCCGCCATGAGGCTGGAAAGCTAAGGAATGGACTGGATCTAGCTGGCAAAGCCACGCCTTTAGTCCTACTGAGATTGCTTGGTAAATTAAAGATTCATGTGGTCAGAAAAAGAGAGATATACAGTAAAGAGAGATTCAAAGACAGAGAAAATTTCTGAATGGTTTAAAGTGTGTTAAAAATATATGCAGACTAAAAGTTGAAGTTCTTAAAATAAAAAACAAAAAAAGGAAGAGAGTTGTTGTGTGTGGTAGCACACGCCTTTAATCCCAGTGCCTAGAAGGCAGAGGCAAACAGATCTCTGTGAGTTCAAGGTGTAGTAGTTTACACCTTTAATCCCAATGCCTGGGAGGCAGAGACAGGCGGATCTCTGAGAGTTCAAAGACAGCCTGGTCTACAGAGTTACTTCAGGTCAAAGATACAGAGAACCTGTCTCAAAAAACAAAAAGTTAAAAGTAAAAATAAACGAAATAGAGATTAAAATAATGCCACACGATGATGGAAAATACACAGAGAATCTTGATACTGTATACTATTATGCTCTCTTTGAATCGTTTGAATGCTGAGGAAGGACAAACAACTGCTAAAAGATATTTGTTTATAAATGATGCTGAACTAATCCAACATAGATATTTTGAATTTGTATCTAAGGATATGATACTTTGGAAAAGAGTTTCTTATTTTGTTTTCACAGAGGATGAGACGCTGTTCATTTCTTCTATTCCGATTTGGTATGATGGACCACGCCCTCCTGAAGGGTTGGTGTGAACATCTTCAGAAAATTGCTTCGCTCAACTGCCAACTGAGATGAAACTAGCACACAGGTTATACCATGAAAGACCTAATTAACGACGCCCCCATTCAGCAGGAAGCAGTTTGGAGAGAAATAACTGCGCCCCTATTCCCAAAAAATGTTTATAAATGTTCTTTTACATTTAAAGGGGGATATGATATAGGTATGAATAATTTGCATTAGTATAGATTTTGCTTTATTGATAGAGATTTAAGGTCAATTTTGTTATATGTATAAGTGTTTCTGATATTGATTAAGGTATTGTGATTGTGTAGTTCATTATTAAAATGTAATGTATAATTAGGAAATATAGGTTGTTGATGGATAATCATAAATAATAGTAAAGCTTGTAGTCATGTTAGTTAGATTTTCTAGATATATAGAGATATATTTTAGATAGACATTCTTCATGTCTTTCAAAGATTACAGAATAGGACATTTAATGTTTTAATAACTTAGGACTTTTCATGACAATGAGACACTCTGCTCCTGGCAGCACCAATCTACTTCAAGAGGAAGATAGGCATCGAAGAGGCACCTTATGGAGTTTGATAGCCATTTGGGCAAGAAACTGCTCTTGCCTGGACTATTGCATAAACTGGACACAGAGAACCCGCAGAGAGAGGACTACTGAACTTGCCTAAGGTGAGATGATCTTTCGGGGTTCCTGATTCATGAAAGAGTCTGCGAGACATTCTGCAGGACACAACAGATAGTGACTGAACTGACTTTGAATTTTCCTGCTTTATGGAAATGTCTGCTGGATACCATGGGCCTGAAGGCTGAAGATGGATGCCCCAACGGTACAAAAGAACTTTGGGTGACTGTCCAGGCAGCGAGATGTCTTTGTCATTTCTAGAGTTTGAAGTTTCTTAGTTCTTGTTTACTTAGGTAATATTATATCTTTCTGGAGTCTTTGATGGAGTTAAGAATAGTTAGTTATAGTTATAGTTTTCCTTAGTTATGATAAAGATTATTGTAACTTTTACTTGATAACTGTTTTGTTATATGTAATTTTGCTATGTTAAAGCCTTTTTTTTTGTTTAAACCGAAAACGGGGAAATGATGGAGGAAGGTCATTGGCCCATTTTATTGGTTAGGACATAGGTAGGTGGAGTAAACAGAACAAAACGCTGGGAGGAAGAGGAAGTGAGGTCAGACTCCACAGCTCTCTCGGGAGCAGACGCCTGAGAGAGACGCCATGCCCCGCTCCTGGGATGAAGCTCTGACCCAGGATGGACTAGCCTAGAATCTTCCCGGTAAGACCGGTTCTCACAGATTATTAGAGATGAGTTGATCAGGATGTGAGAATTAGCCTGTAAGTGCTAGAGCTAAAGGGCCAAGCAGTGCTTAAAAGAATACAGTGTCTGTGTAATTATTTTGGGGCATAAGCTAGCCGAGCAGGCGGCCGGGGTGCTGGGAATGCAGCCCCGCCGCCCCTATTACTACAAACATTGATGTAAGAGGTTACCAAACATGTACCGGCTGCTGCCTTCCCTCTGCTGTGCTCCAAGATCCCTCTGAGCATGTTTTGTTTCACGAGTGGCATGGGGGCAGAGGAAGAGTCTTACAACGATAAGGGAATTGATAAGCCTGGGGAAATGCTGTGGGAAGTAGCAAAGCTATTGAGTTGGGTCCAAGTGCATGGTATAGTCAAACTATTTTCTAAAGCTAATATGTATTGACAAAAGCTTTAGGGTTAGAAATAAACCAATGTACAAAATGGCTAAGATAAATGAATAGACAGCAATACAAATATGGATGATAACAAAAATAACTGAAGCAAATGCACAAAGTAAATCTCAAACTACAAACAGTAAACCAAAATCTATGCCCCAATACTACCCATCCTCCCATCCCCCCCACGCCCAGGAAATAAACTCACTGTGTTCAGGTCAATGGCGATCACCGATGTCCAATTCCAAAGATGGATACTAACAAACTAACACTCCCAGAACAAAATTATGAGTCTCACTGCTTCACTGCAGTATAAGGACAAGGTCCAGGCCAAGCTGGTCCCTTACATGGGTTGGGGACTCTTTCCTCACAGTGAGGCAACTGTTATCACTGCACTGATAGTCTTCTCTGGTCTCTTAAGGACCAACCACCTCCAGCCAGGCCAGACATCGAAGAGTTTCTTAATTGCTCAAACAGGACCACCTAAGGAGACCAAGGGATCAAGCACATGGGACAGTATAAGATATGTCATATTCAACCCATGACAAAGACCTTTTACCCTTAATGGTAAGTGTGTGTGTGTGTGTGTGTGTGTGTGTGTGTGTGTGGAGAGAGAGAGAGAGAGAGAGAGAGAGAGAGACTGGTAGATTTACTGTGTAATTTGTGATGTATCACTACTATTCCTGTCTAAAGTCGGGATAACTGAAGATGTTCACCGAAGCAGAGGTTTTAAGGAAAGTGAGACTGATGCATCTCTGCCTTTGAAACATCCACTCCTTGTCAATTTGTTATTCGGTAAATTCTGGCATAGTGGAAAGACGTAGTGTTCCTTTGTGTGTGTGACAAAGTATGCTTAGGACACACCCTCTTTTTAGGGGTGTATAATTTTCTGGGGACACCTTCCACTCAGCTGAGCTGAACCTTGGCATACAGCTGTTCACTATTCTTTTTCTTCAAATGATCCTAGCTCCACCACCACCTCCCTTCTCTGCCAGACCCAATTCCCCTCCATTTCCTCCTCAGAAAAGAGCAGGGTCTCCAAGAGACAAAAGCAAAGCATGACAAAGGAAGATACAAGGAGACAAGACAAAGGCTCCTGTGAAGGAGGAAGGGCAACCCAATGTGAGGAAAAGAGTCTCAAGAGCAGGCATAAAAGTCAGAAAAACACAAGCTCCTACTATTAGGAGTCCCCCCAAAATACCAAGATAACAACCCATAACATCTACACAGAGAACCTGGGGCAGACCCATGCAGGTCCTGGGCTTGTAGCTTCCATTTCTGTGGGCCCCTGAGTCCTACTTAGTTTCTTTGGTGGGACACGTCAAATTTCCTTATTTCAATTGAGTGTTTTCTTTGATAAGAAGTGTGACAAAGACACTAGCCTTTAACTGTCAACGTTAATATCTGGGCTAACACCTCCTACTGGTGAAAAAATAAGAATGTCAGAACCAGAGAACAACCCAAGGATGCTGTACATCAAACACCAATAGACACAAAGTACACCTTGACCACTTACATATTTGGGAAGTATAATCAAGTTACTTTTTCTGTTAATGTGACAAAAGACCTGACGAGAGCAATGCAAGCAGGGTCCATTTGGGCTCATATTTAGGGTGCAATCTGTTCCAGTAGAGTCCATGCTGACTGCTGCTGCTGCTGCTGCTGCTGCTAAGGCCTTAGTACCTGCTGAAGACCTTCCTCTTTCACAGGTCTCGCTAGGCTCCTGCAGAGACACTGCCTATGCATCTTCATCTAATACATTTCCAAAACCATGGTTGTTATTGCAATATTTTATTTATGTTTAAATAAAGCTTGCCTAAAGATCATCTCCCTATAGCAACTGGCACCCAACATGGTCAACTATTTAGTAAAACCTGAAGTCGGGGTGGGGGTGCTTCATCACCAACAGGGATGATCTGAACATGACCATAGGAAAAAATGCAAGAAGAATGCAGAAGGAAGGGCAGCTTCAGACTTCATTGCTGCTTTGAATCAGAGTAATCCAAACTTTAATTTATAGACTTTCCACTTGACCAAGTCAGGCCCACCAAGACATCTCAGTTTGGGCCATTTCTTAGGAAAATGACCTGTAAACTGTGCCAAGTCCCTTTACACTATCACCTGGGTCACGTTTAGTGAGGTGACTCCTGGGATGTGTGCAGGCTTCACAGGGCACTACTCCCCTCCTCCCTCCCAGGGAGCTATCCTAAAAGCATGTCCTATGGAGACACATACTAGAAGGGAAGTTGTAGTCCACAGCTGAGTTGAGCCAAGGTGACAGGCACAGAGCTCTCTCTCTTGGAACTTGCAGCTTTGACCAGATGTGCTTTACTTCCCTTTGGTTTTGGTTTGGTTTTTACATTTATTTCTGAACTCATACCATGGCATATATGTGGCTGTCTGAGGACAACTGAAGGAGTCGGTCCTGTGTCCATATGGACTTGAACTTTTGCCATCAGACTTGCCAGGAAGTACCATGTCACTGTCAGGTCCAAAGTGGGAAACTGTACCGGTTGGTTTAATGTCAATTTGACACAAACTGGAATCATCAGAGAGGAGGGAGCCTCAACTGAGAAAATACCTCCCTAAGATCCAGCTGTAGGCAGGCTTAAAGGGTAAGATCTTAACTAATAATTTATGGGGAAGAACCCAGCCCAGTATGGATGGTGCCATCCTGGGACTGGTGGTCCTGGGTTTGCATAACAAAGCAGGCTGAGCAAGCCAGGCGGAGCAATCCAATAAGCAGCATACTCCATGGTTTCTGCATCATCTTCTGTCTCCAGCTGCCTGCCATGCTTAAGTTCCCGTTCTGGATTCCATTGATTATCCACTGTGATGTAGAAGAGGAAGATGAATAAATGTTTTCCTCCCAAGTTGCTTTGGTCATAGTGTTAAAGCTATACTAACCCTAGCTGAGACAGGCCCCCAGGCCCAAAATGACAGTCTGGGTTCATGGCAAGCTGGATTTTGACTGGGCAAACAGACGGATTGCTAGTGGAAAAACAAAAGTGTAAAATCAAAATTCTCAGAAACTTGTGAATAAGTTTATGTTTTGTCAGGAAGAGCCATCAGTGTCCTTATCTGCACATTCGCGATGCTGGAGTCAAACCTGTGAGAGAAACTCATGCAAAGATAGGTTTGCAGAAAGAAACTGAGATAATTTCCCCTAAGATGAGCTTTATAGGAAAGAGAGTCAGAGGAACATTGGCAGTTAGGCTCATGTTCAGGCCCTGAAGAGGGGAAAGAGAAGAAATGGAAAGCTATGCCAGAGGCAGCATGATGGGGTTTAGGCAGGAAGGGAGAGGGCAAGAGTGAGACAGAGGAGGAATGGGAAGCTTCCCTCTAGAACCTGGACAGGAGGTGCACTAGGAAAATGAGCATTTTAACAGACAGAATGTGGGATAATGAAGGAAGACGGAGAAATGATAAAGCCCCACCCCCGACCCAAAGCTGAACCAGACTGGACAGTTATCATGTACAATATTGCAGAAGTTGATGGACCAGACTGACTCCATCTTGAGGACGGAAGCCATTTTCCTATAAGGTTACAACAAGTTGACTTCTGTTTGCTGCAAAATTCTGCCGACCATGTTTTAACTTGCTTCTGAATTTGACATGCTCCCAACACAGGGGAGTTTGATTCATAACATGACTATATCCTGATAAGATGTTCTGCAAAATAATTTTAAAATATTCAACCAAGTTCCTACATAAGCAAAATTTCTCTGGAAATCTCCCAACCCTTGAAAAGCCCCTAGCCTTGCAGTTTTTTGGACAATGCAAACTCCACCTTCTCCTGTATTTGATGCTATTTTGTTTTCAACTCCTGCTTTAGGGAGATAGCCCTGTCTTGACAGAAAATAAAGCTTGGTTGTTTTGACTGTAGAATTAGGGTAATGGTCTTTACTCTCACTTGGTGGGCTTAATGAAGTCAGAAGGATTGAGGTATTAGTTTCTATATCATGCCACGTGAACTAGCTGCACACACCAAGAGAGTGGTGACAAGGTAGGTCTATGAGAGTATTCTGCTAATGATAAGAAAATGGAAAAATGCAAGCCCACGGGAAGGCTGGTTTCTCACCAACTCTGTGTCTCAGAGACAGCTGTGGGGAACAGGGCACATGCTGTATTCTGAGAAGGGGGAGACACTTGGAGGGCCCATGACATAGCACAGCTCTTCGCTCATCCACAGCCCCAGAACTGTCTGAAGTCAGTGTGCCCAGCCTGGTATAAATCATGTTTTACTTTGTCTACAGGAGTTAGCAACCTGCAGCACCTTCTTTCCTTTTGTTTTATTAGTGAACTGCCCCACTTTCCACTGAAGGAAGAGCAGTACACCTTCTCTTCAGCAGACCTGAAAAGTGACGTCCATGGGTGTCAACTTCGGGATCACTATGGAGTAAAACACAGGGAACTGAACACAGGTTCACTTTCCACTGAAGGAAGAGCAGTACACCTTCTCTTCAGCAGACCTGAGAAGTGGTATCCATGGGTGTCAACTTCAGGATCACTATGGAGTAAAACACAGGGAACTGAACACAGGTTCGGAAGCACCCAGTGAGTCTACTTAATACCAAGGATGTAACTGAGGGGATAATGAGCAGGAGCCTAGGCTGTACAGACACGAGGTGAAGGGCTGCTCACCCGAGGTGGCATGGTGATGGACGGCAGAAGAGTGTGTGACTTCACACTTGGGGAGTTTGCCTTTCTGGAAAGTTTCACGTCACATAGTCAAGCCACCATGACTGAAGTTAAGTGAAATTGTGGAAATGGGGGAAGTGTATATTTGAAGTGAGTTTCTAGATGTGGACTCACAGCAGGGTAAAAATCCAGCAGGCACCTCAGTCTCTCTATAAATTGCTGGAGTGGAACACAGCCGCCATGTGTGTCCTGGAGGCAGATTCGGTCACTTACTGTCCCCTCTCTAACGCTCCTTGTAATGGCTTGCCAGCTCAGCCCGTGGTCAGAAGTACTGGGGGCAGATCTGGACCCTGTATCTCTAACACTCCAGGTTCAGCTACCTGTCCTCAATAAGACAGTCTGAAAAATAAATTAAGAATGAAAAACAGCTAGGTGGTGGTGTTGCACACCTTCAATACCAGTACTTGGGAGGCAGAGGCAGACGGCTCTCTGGTGAGTTTGAGTCCAGCCTGGTCTCCAGAATTCCAGGTCAGCCAGGGCTGTCACATAGAGAATCCCCACCTCAGGGAAAAAAAAATCAAATAAATAAATAGAGAAAAACAGTAAAGGGAGATTTATTCAAGTGTCCACATTGGGAAGAAGAAGAGGGTAGGAGTTCAGTCATTCTGAGTCTTGGTGCTGGCCTGAGGGTTAGGTTGAAGCAGAGAGCAGAAAGTATTCGTGAATGAGTGGAGGGAAGATGTGCAGGAATGACACACCTTGCAAGGTGTTGCACAGGCCACCTCTCAGGAATTTCAGTGTGTGGATAAA